TTTAAATAGAGCCAATAAATACTTCTAACACTTTCTTTTTATACTGTATTAGCAAAGAAATGTTGCAATGGGACAAAGAGCATCACAGTTACTGATGGGTGCTGATCTGAACTAGATTCACTGCTCAGGTATTCACTTAATATTTGGTAAATTCAGTGATAGCTGTTATGCACTGAAAAATTGTAATGTTTCCATGGAAAACTGTTAGAAAAATAAAATTCCCTTTTACATTAACATTTAAATTTCAGTCTGAAAGACAAACTATAAAATAAGGGCTGTATTAAGGATTAACTAATGGCCATGGTTCTTTACAAAAACAAACGCCCAAAGCTCCCTCTGTTTTCAAATACTGTTCCTAGATCTGATCTGTGTTTTGGACAATAGGTAACAGACATCATAATGCTCTACCTACTGTTCATGAAGAAAAACTTGCATGCTGTCAGTTAATCTGATTTGACATTTAGGCTTGGTTGTTTTGGACTGGCTTAGAATGTTTTCTTTGTTCTGTTTTCTGGAGGTTTGGTTTGGTGTTTGTTTTTTGGGGACGTGGGGGTTTTTGGCTGGGATTTTTTAGTTGTTGGTTGGTTTGAGGTTTTTTCAAATTAAACTTGTAATGGAAACAGGACAAAAACTAGGAAGGGGTGTATTGAAACAGCCTTTATGTTTAGTCTCTAATGATAAAACTGTCTTTGTTAGGCAAGTCTTGCTTCTTAAAAGAGAAGAGCACTTTATTGAAGGAAAAGGCTTTTATTAACTGTCAGTGTGACTAGTAATGCAAGTAATATGTGAGTATTATCAGCTTTTTTTTTTGTTTGCAAAGGCACTTGTATTAAGTGTTAAAATAGGCTGGATGCTAAGTACATGTGGGGAAGATACTTGTGTCATGCAAAAATTACTAAGATTCCTATGTTTGAAATTCATTCACACTTTTAAAAAATACATTCATTTTCAGTTAGTTTTGCTGATTTTGGAAAAGTTATTTTCTGAAACCTCAAAAGGAATCTCAGAAGATTAGTATACCTCCTGTTTTATTTCCATTTGGCACAGTATGATTTTTTTTCTTTAAAACATAAACTTTTTAAGTCAAGAACGTGAGAGTAAAGTCAGGAGGAAGGCACTAACTTCCTATTTTATGCTATAAATCAGTACTTTGTTTGGCGTTTTAGTCAGAGTCTATACAGCACAAATAAACTGTTAAAAAGTATTATTTATTTATCTGATTTTAGCAGTAGCTTCAGAGGTTTTGTCCAGCAAGGTATTAGAATCACAGAGAGATTGACAGAGGCACTTTGATGGTGATTTTTGATGCCACTTACTTTTTATTCCTCAGTAAGAAAGGTAAAGAAATAGGGTAGAGACACAATGATAATGTTTCTGGGACAGAACATTTTCTGGGACAAGAGAATGTACAGGAATATCTTGTGATGCTGGTGAACAAAAGTGAAGAATGAGGAAACCTCAGCTGATAGAGTTACTCAACTGATTTGTAATGTCAGACTGAAAGTAGTTCTGTTAGAAATCTTGTTGGATGAGAATCACTGTATGCACTTTTACTTTTATATTGTCAATGTTAATAAAGTCAGATTTAATATTGCAAGCCTGGGACTAACTGTGATGCTTAACACACAGTATTTTGCATATACAGGAGGAAAGCAAGACTACCTAGTCCTGCCTCAGCTTAATAGTCAGTCTGGTCTGACAGTTTTGCCATTGCTCAGTACTGCAGTAGCTGGGCAGTTGTGATAGGATGTGATAGGAAGTTGCTGATAGGAAGATACTGCAGATGCTGCTCTGATGTGGTAGGAGGGTCTGGTCATTGGGACTGCAAAGGGCTTGAACATGCTTGAGTGCTGGCAGACCCTTTCTCATAGAGCTTCCTGAACAGCATCACACTTAACAGACACTGTCTTGTGTCTGTTCCTTTTAAGCCAGGACTTGTCATAACAGGCCTTTTGACACATCAGTTATCAATTGTAAATTTGTATTTAATTAGCCAAAAAAAGAAACTATTCTGTAACTAGAATCAAGTCATCACACACAAAAAAGGAAAATTACCATTTTGCCTTTAGTTTCAGGTAGCTTATCTGTCAACATCAGCTGTCCCAGAGAATAGCTGTCTTGAATATGAATATTGTAAAGAATAGGTTGAGAACAAAACTGTTCAGCTAGAAACTGCATAAATTACCCTTTTTATGACAGCATGAAAAGCTTCCTCAGGAGTTTGGCCTTCTGGTTGTCAGCTGGAAGCTGGTAAGCAGTTTGATATTCTCAGTTGTGCCTTGCAGAAGTTACCAGCTACCATGGTGTGTCCCTGCTCTGTGTAGGGCTTCCCCTCTGAGCACCAGCTTTCTGCTGAGTGGAGGCTGAGGCTGCTCCTGAGCTCCACAGGGGCACTTTGGCTGTTGAGCTGAGGCTGGTGTCAGCCACAGGAACTGGTGGGACTTCTTTCATCTTCATGGGCCTTTTAGGCATTTGGAAAAGTCAAACAGAAGCTCTGACAGAACATTTGGCAGCTTTATCATCACTCTGAGACTGTGAAGTGTTTACATATTCAGGGGGTCAGTAGCATTCTCTGAATGTGCTCCTTGTGATCTTCCAGGTGTGTCTCCTAAACTGAACAGGTATATTTCAATCCTAAATATGTTGGGTATGCAGTCTTGCTTAGTTGAAAGACTGATTTTTTAAGGGTTTGGTTTGGGGGAAGGTTGGGGTTGGTGGGTTTTTTTTCCTTCGGTAAATTAGGTCTGGCGTGGAAAACTAAAATTTTTTATGCGGTCTGAACACTGAGTCTAAAAAATTACGAAGATGCTGTATGGCATTAAATCCATTAAAATATTGACATTAGGGTTAACACTGCTTTTTAGCAATAGAGCAGGGAAGTAGAAGCCAGAGTAAATGAGGCATTACTCAGTTAAAAAAAACAAAACTGATATAAGAAAAAGGCCAGTGTTAATAAATGTAGTCTAGGAACCAAATTTAAGTTATTATTTGTCAGATGTGCAAGATTTTGGACTGGAAAGGAGTGGGTAATAGTTCTAGAAACAGTGTAATGTGTTTACATGCAGGATTGTATGACATGGTTGACTGCAGTAACACAACTGGGCTCAGTGATCTGCAAAAGCTTTAGGCCAGTAGATTTAACAACAGGAAGAGCTGGGTATTTTTGGTGTTTCTGGATTTTTTTTAATGTATCTGCATTCAGATCATGCCTGATCAATTATATACAGTGATAAGCAGCCAGAAGAATACATATATAAATATATACATACACTTTTTTTTTTTGGTCAGATATTAAAGGATTATTCATACTTAGTCCAGAGCTCCTCAAAAAAGAAGTTTGCCTTGGAATGGGCTGCAATTGTGTAATCATTCAGGTTTCAGACTATGTACTGGATCTACCATAAATCTCACACCAAACCACGTACATAAAATTCTCATAGATTAGCAGCTCACTATTTGAGTTAGCCAGTTAGATAACGATTTGATATAACTGGCATGTTAATCCTGATGTTATGCTTACATAAGCTTTTCCAAATCTAATCAGCTGGCAATCCATGAGAGAGATGTCACTGAGTAGAAGGTCTGTGTCCAAGTGCTGATAACTACATCCCCCCCCAAACTGCATTGCCTTCGAGGGAATCAGAAATCTTTTTAATACCTATATTCATTTGCTTTATACACTTTCCTGGCACATTCTTACCTGTTTAAGAGTGTAGTGATGGATCTGCTTAAGTCCACTTGTAACCACATCCTCCCATTTTAATTAGGCAGTTGGACACCAGACACGCCTGGATAAGAGAACAGTGCTCGGTGGCGCTTACAATACCACAGCTATTCATGTTCTCCGGGCTAAAACACTTAGTGTTGAGGGAGAAGTTTGGTTTGGGAACAGAGTTACATCTTTTGCAATTATCTTTTTGTCAGATAGCCCTTATCAAAGCCACAGCTAACTGCTGCTGTAGCAACAAACGGAACATCGCTCTCCTCTTGGAACGAGTGTTTCAAGACGTGTCTTTACGGGCGAAGGAAGGGCTGCGGTGCGAGGTGCGCGGTTCATTCCCGAGGCCGCGGCGCTGCGCTGGGTGCGGGCTCCAGCCCCGCCGCGCTCCGAGAGCCGCTCGGGCGGGCCGGCTCCATCCCCGCCGGAACAGGAAGGCGGCCAGGGCGCCGCGGAGGGCCGGGGAGGAGCCGCAGCCCTCAGCATCTCTGGGGAGGATTTTGGCAGGCGGGGGCCGCCCGCACAGCCCGGAGCAGCGGTAGGTGCCCGGGGCGGGGGCGGATGGGCGATGGGAGCGGCGGAGCAGGGCCGGGCGCGGCTCCCCCGGCCCCTGCGGGTCCCCGGGCCCCTGGCGGGACGGACCCCACGTCCTCCGCCTCATCTCTGCCGGGCTGCCCCTGCCCTGCCGTGCCCTGCCCTGCCCTGCGGAGCTCGGCTTGTCTCTGTGCCCCGGCCGAGCGCCCGCCCTGACCTGAGCCAGGGCTGTGGGAAGGGAGGCTGAGGAGCGCTCCCGGCGCTGAGCAGGTAAAGCCGGGCCCGGGGAATTTCACAGAGAGATAACGTCAGGTAAGAAAACCCCAGAAGAATGAAATTCTGGCTGCTAGCAGATAACAAATCTCAGTTCGTGCGTTAGGGCAGGGCCAGCTTTGGTGCCGATCCATTCTTGGGAGGCACAGCATCAAGCCCCGACCCTGCGGCCGGAGGACGGGGACAGAAGCGACGAGACACGGGCGGGGAATGCCGAGGGAATGGCTGGGGAGAGCCGGGCAGAGCAGCGAGTGTGAGGGACTCACGTGTGAGCAGAAACAACTTCCCCAAACTGAGAGCCCTCCCTGGTCCCAGCGCGCCTCACACGAGGCAGATGTCGCCGGGGAGGAGAAGTGTGCTGTTTTTGCTGTCAGGATGCCCAGGGCCTGTAAAATGTTTTGTGGTTTCCTGCCCTAGCAAAAATTTATGGAGAGGTTTAAACAACAAAACCGATGGAGCACAAAGGCAGAAACATGCAGTACCGTGGGATATTGCGTAAGGGAAATTGCAACCACGCAGCCAAAGCTGGAGCAGAGTGAAAGGTCAGCGCAAGCATCGATGGGTTCGAGCTGCACACTGGCAGAAATGCTTCTGAGGGAAAGGTGTGAACGATGTAATAGCCCTGGAATAAAGTTCAGCTTGGTCATACATTTCAGTGGATGACTAAACAAATCGTGAGGAAAAACAAGATAGAGTGTGCCTCAGTGAACCTATCACTCAGCTGTTGGCTGGATAGACCCAGAGCCAGAGAGTATTTGCTTAAATGAATGGTCATTTTGGCTCCGTGTGCTCTTTTATCATTTAGGTAAGCAAATAATGCTGATTATTTGTAGTGGTGATGATTTGCCATTTGAAATAAAAGGATCTCGAACATAAATCTGCTAAATCAGACCAGTATGGTTAAGAGTATTATGCCAAGACTTTAGTAAATGGATTGCAGGTGGCCCCCATTCCATGTTTATTTACCTCATGGCAGTTGAGCTTTAATAATGCTTCAGTGCTAATAAACTGTCTTTACAGATAAAAAAAAAAATCACAATAATATTTATTGCTAAGCATGACAAGGTGTTATAGCCTTCAGTTAGTGTAGTACCATTTTCTATGCACATTTTCTATTTGATTCTTTTATGACTGAGATATCGTGTATGTTTTATAATTCTGAAGTTTGCAGTTCCATTGTTTATATATTACTCTTTGATTTTGATTTATGTTGAAAATTAGTTTAATTTTGGGATTTAGACCAACTACTTCGTTTATTAAAGACGGAATTATATATGGCCTGCATCTTTGTTTAGGGCTTTAAGATGGTTTTGGAGTATTATCAAGGAGAGTTGATAGTTCTCATATTTCAGAACTAAAATGAAAATGCTGCCTTAATCATTTGATGGCCCAGGTCAGTAGCTATCACCTGGAGAAAGAAATAAAAGATGAAGTTTAAAAATTTCCATCTATTGTTTCTTGTGTTGCTCTCTGGGGTTTATCTTGAAGACAGCATTCCTGCAATAGTTAGGAAGTCTGCCCTTTTTTTTAATTATTGTTTTTTTGGTAATTTTTAATATACATACACTGAAGGTATAAACAAACTCTTACTTGGATGTGAATATTTAGAGTGCCATTTCATACCCGTTTTATTGTAATGCTGAGTTGAAAACATGTAGGAAAGTCATATTAGTATCCCTCATGTGTTGGCAAACTTCAAATCCTCCTTAGTTCTGTTTGAGGTGTTCCTATAATAGAGTTTGTTGTTTTATTGCCATTTATTTGGTGGGAGAAAATTTGGTGCTGAGCTAATAACGAAGACTAGAGAGCTGAGGCTCTTCTTCCCAGGTAACTCAATATAGCCAGAACTTGTTTTTGTGAAGTCTGTAGAAAGTAGAAATTTTTGTGAAGTCTGTAGAAAGGAATGAATCAGCACAATACTCTTATGAAAGGCCTGCAAAAAGCTTTCTCCTGACTGGATTTAAATGTAATTTTTTTCAGAAGCAGAGCACTGGGACCATGGCCCTGCAAGAGAGAGGAACCAGCAGCAGCAACTCCACTAATGACAAGCAGGAGCAGAACCATAATCGTGTTATTACAATTGTCTTCCTGGCACTCTTCATCGACTTGTTGGGATTTGCTCTCATCTTGCCACTCTTCCCTTCCATCCTTGATTATTACAGCCAGACTGAGGTAAGTAACAAGAAAGTCAGCCCACAGAAAGTGTTAGGATCTTGAGGGAGGAGTGGAAGGAAAGTCCCCTGCCTTGGGGCAAACCAAATAGCTGTAGGAAGATTAATAATTACCCAGCATATATAAATGGTTCATGGACTGGATTTATTTGTCAACCTGCATAAGACTCTTCACCCTTGTTTTTTCATTAAAATGAGAAACCTGTTTTGATAAAAATTCAGGTATTTCTTTGGGACTAGTCCTTGTAGTTATCAGTGGTTTTGTGTCTTATACTGATGTCACTGGTGAGGCAGTTCATAATGGATCTGCATGCTGGGGTTTATTGAAGAACCAAAGAGATGAGAGCTTTTCCCCCACCTGAGTATTTCACAAGGTCACTTGCTCCCTCCCCCAGTGTGGAGTTCCATCTCACCTTCCGTTCCTAGCAGGGAGCTGGCTGCTGCTCCAGGAACAGAGCACAAGGTCCTGTTAAATCCTGGCTGTGCAGGTGCTCATTGTCATCCTTCTCAGGTGTTAATGGCATTACTGGTCAGGATGAACATGTTGGTGTGGGATAATTGTTTCTGCAGCCCACACCTCTGTCTCTCAGCCCCTTTCTAGCTCCACTCCAGCTGCAGCTGTAGGCTTTGTCCTTCTTGCAACCATATCTCTGCCCCAAATCATGGTCTCTGATCTCCAGGGTCTTCCCCCACTTCCAATGTATTTCCAATAGCCAAGATCTCCACCTTCTTTTCCAGACCATCTTCTTTTCAAGTCCTTCTCCTCTTTTTGGGAATCATACTTTTTTTGCACCACCTTTTCCTTCTGCATCTTCTGCAAGCTTCTGGTTCTCCCAGGCTAAACAGTCTATGTGCAGCAGGACAGAGTGTGTTGCCTTTTTAATGGAAAGATTCAGAGCATGCCTGTTTAATTCAGGATTTAGCAAGTAATGGGCCTGAAGGCTTGAAAAAGTTCAAATTCGGACATTCCTCCACCCAAACATACGCTATCTGCTGTCTGTTAACATTCACAATTTAAGCTATTTTTTGCCTATGATCAGTGAGGAAATTTTCCCTCATGGGGAAGAGGAGGGAAGGAGTCATCTAACTTTGTCTCTAGTTCACTAAGCTCTGATGCTGTCTTTGAAAATAAAACTGTCTTTCTGCTTCTATTTCCGTGTTACCTGTTTTTCAGGATGGATTCTATTTGTCATTGCAACGCGGGGTAGACTGGTTTGCAGCGATGGCTGGGATACCTCCGGAGCGGAAATACAACAGCGTCTTGTTTGGAGGTAGGGAAACTGAGCAAACAAGCCAACAGCCAAAAAACAATGTTCTTTCCAAGTTGTTTGCAATGTTGATGTGAAGAATGACAAGAAATACAAAAAGCATGCTTGCCTATTTTTAGTTCTAGATTTAAGTCACACAGAAAATGTCTCTTTGGGTAGACTATAAATTATTTTGTTTTTACCACACTGATAGCAATGAAGAGTTGGACAGCCCCATCTCTCATTTGGAGACACCTAGACAGGCAGGAGAAATGGGGTAACAGGAACATTGTGAAATTCAATAAGAACCAATTTTAAGTCCTACCTGTGGGAAAGAGTAGTCATTGCTATGGTACAGACTGGACACTCACTGATGACCCTGGGGGTCCTGGTGAGCAGCAAGCTGAGCATGAGCCAGCCCTGGCATCAAAAAGATGCCAACAGCTCCTGGGATGTGTGAACAGAATCAGAATCAGTGGGTTAATGGAAGTGATCATCTTCCTCTACTCAGCATTTGATAGACCATATCTAAATAGTTACATTCAGTTTTGGGCCCCAAAAGGGGACAAGGAAGGGTATCCATACATTGGTGAGTTCAGTGAAAGGCTCTGAAGATGGAGAGTCTGGGGCCCTTGGCTGATCTGCAGTGAGTGGTAGCCTTCCAACACCTTTGGGGAGGTTATGGAGAGCTAGGCTTTTCATTGAGATGTGTGGGAGAAGGAGAGGCAACAGTAGTAGCAGGGGAGGTTCAGACAGGAAACAGGGAGGAACATTTTTCCAATCAGGATGGTCAGTGGAACAGGCTGCCTAGAGCAGTGTCGTCCTCAGAGATTGTCAAACCCTGATCGAGTAAGGTCCTGAACAATCTGCTCTGACCTCACAGCTGACTCTATGAGCAGGTGGTTGGAGTAGGTGACCTCCAGAGCTCCTTTTAAACCTGAATTATCCTATGATCGTACTCAGTTTGTTCTACAGATTCCTACAGAAATACAGGCCTGCTGTTCCTTGTTGTCAGACTGCCAGCTGAGGGTCAGGAGCCTGCTGTGCTGGGCCCTGGCAGTCACAGAAATTACTCTCCCTTCACAATTGATCTGCACATGATCAGAGATCAATCAGTAGGGAACACTGGAAATAGAAACTTGTGAGTTCCAGCCTTGCTTGCCCCTTGGGCGGGTATAGTGCAGCACTGCTTCTAAATCTCATTAGTCTTATTAAAAGCATCAGAGCCGCTGGATTGCAGGACCCATAAGTATTTTCTGTCACTAGGACACTGGTGTGGATGAGCTCCAGCAGGAGCAGTGAGGGAAATATATCATGTTACACATCAGAGAGACTCTTCTGGCTTCTTGCCCTCTAGACAGTTGTGAGAAACTGATTGCAGAGTATGAAAATATGAAGGTGTCTGGGTTAATTTTAGTTAGACCCTCTCTACCTTCTCTTTTTAGAGAGCTGAGGCCTCCCCCAGGATAAGCAAAAGGCTTTTAAAAAACTAAATGAAACACAAAACTCAATTAGAATATGTGTGAATGCATTGTTACTATTTAAAGTAGTTTAATTGGGTATAACAGACCTTAGGAAGTACATAAGCCATTTTCTTCTTTCCTACCATATCCTTGCAGGCATGTTTTTCTTTCTCTGCTCAGTTTTAGTCAAATTACTGGTTTTGAATGCTAGGAAACAGTTTTCTTTAATCCCTCAGAAGCTGTTTTTCTCTTCAGCTTGACCAGAAGCTTCCTACTTTCAACTTCTCACCATCTCAGATTGTTTAGACAAGGGGCGGCAACTCCCAGTCAAGTCCAACTTGTTGCTTTTCCTTTTACCTGCTGTGTCCTGTACTCTTGGGAGTGCTGTGTGGAAAGTTTCATTATAGTTGTGATGTTAAGCAGAGGCTGCTACAGCCTTCCTGCAGCCTGTATTCCTTCACTGCCCTCGTCTGCCACAAGGAGCATAGGATTGGGAAGGTGCTTGCAAGATCATCTTGTTGTTTCTCCCAGTGCCAGCCATATTTTTAATTTTTTATTAGACTGCAAGCTCTTCAAGTCTGAAACTTCTCTGCCTGTGTCAGGGCCCTGAGGGCACCAATACGTAGTTGCTGTGGCCAGTCATCACCCACACATTTTCTGCCCAGTGATTCAGGAGCTTTATTTCAGGCTTTGTCTCCGGGGCTGTCTCTGTCTCCATCTCTTGGATGGGCTTCAGACCTACATTGGAGGTATCTTGTCTCCCAACCTACATCATAGTGTTGTTTCCACACCTTTCTGTGCCCCTGACTCCTGCTGGTCCAGACTGGACGTCCTGGAAGGATGTATTGAATCACCCTTGCCTTGTGTGGGACTGTCAGTGGGCCCTGTTGGCAGCACCTGCTCTGCCCAATCCATCAGATCGTGGGACACCCAGGCTGGTGAGGGCACTGCCAGTGCTGTGGTCACCCTCAGCTCCCGGCTCCTTCCCCCATGTGGAACAGCTCTGTGTTTGCTGCATGCTGGCTTGGAAGTATTTGGCATGAAAGGGTGTTTTTACAGTGCTAGAAACACAATGAAGGAAACTGTGTGCTATAAACTGCCAGTGTAAAATTCTGTAAGATTTTCTACTCAGTTTTTTTGAGCTTTGAGTTATCACAAGCAGCTCTTCTCAACAAAGTGTTCAGTATCAATATTCTGCCTCCCTCCAGGTTGATGGGAGCAGAACTTCTGGTTTGTCTCTCTTCTGCCTTTTAAAGATTTGATAGCTGAATGATCTGAAACATAACCCAGTTTTTCCTTTAGGGAAAAGCTGTGACAGCAAAGCATCTTTTGCCTGCTTGTTGAGAGTGTAGTGCAAATTAATGAGTCTGTGAAGCTAGAAATGGCAAGAGAAAAGAGGAATTAAAGATCACAGAAGCTGGAGGCAGGTTTCAAAAGACTCTTGGAGTCTGTTGGAATCACTCCTACCTCTTAGGGTGCCTCACTAACAGAAGTGCTTAAGTCTTTCTTTCCATGATAAAAAGGAAAGAAAAACTAATTAAGTGTGACAGAATCAGGTTCAAACAATGAAAAAAGTCTTAAAAGAACTGTGACTGTTAAAGACTGTGCTATCTCTACTTTGAGAGCAGAAAATGTATGCAGTCAGCAGGGAAACATTGAAGAATCATCATTCCATAATAACCAGTAAGTTTCAAACCCTTTCTCACCAGTGGAGTAACCAGGAAGTCATCCAGTTTATGTCTGTTACTCTGGTCTAGCTGTGCATCTGGTCTGTCTGTATTTGCTGCCTCAGCTAAGTAACAATGCAAGGTTGGTGTTCTGAGAGTGGCATGGTTTCAGGGACAAAGCTATTCTTCATAGCTGTGGTTTTACATTTAATTTCAAGTTTTTTTCACACATAGCGATAGATCTTCAACAGCTTGGCTGTCTTTGTATTTAAGATGAAGGCAGCAAGCCTAATGATCTCTATATTTTTATCTTTTTTTTAGGTCTGATTGGCTCCATCTTTTCCCTCCTGCAGTTTTTCTCCTCTCCCCTCACTGGTGCTGTGTCAGACCACTGGGGCAGAAGACCTGTCATCCTGATGACAGTGGTATGTGTCACATGCTGGTCTTAGTCATGGCATCTCAATATACAGTGAAAGCACCATGATCTTGTGCTTAGCAAGGAAACTGAATTGTGTGTGACTTGTGACAGTCACAGTTCAGCTCTAGAACTGAATTTTCTAGATCTGCTGGTTGTTGACTCTTTCTTGCCAAGTCACTTGGCCACACTTTCAAGTATGAGTGCTTAAACTGAACTTTTCCAGACCCAGAACTTTATATAGAAGACATCAAAATACTTATCTGTTTCTGTCATTTTCCAAAATCCTTTTCCCTTATGTATGGAAGAATGACTTCAGATGCTCTGTTGACAAATGTTAGACTTAATTCCTATATATTTTAGTTCATCAATTAATGATTAATGAGGGCTGACCACTTCATGACCCATTCCACAGAGCCTGGGAATTGTTGGTTAGGAATACATAGCACTGCAAGAAGCATTTCTTATGAACATGAACATTCTCCTTATTTTGAACTCAGATTTCTCTTGAATTTGGAAACAAATGGAATGGGATGTACAAAAATGTTTTGTACCCAGGACTCGTTTAACTTCCACAGAATTTTGCTCTTCTAATTTTGGTAGAAATATCACAATTATATGTAGTTTGTATGGACTTGTTTCTACTTCCTTTATATTGCTGTTCAAGACATAGTGCAGCATCAGTTTATTCAGCCATGTCTGTTGCATGGGGTTTGGAGCAGCCATTGAAAACAAACAAAAAATGTAAATGTTTAGCTGGGAACTGAGCAGGAATTACATCAACTTTGCATTGCTTTATAAAGAACCCTTTCTTGCTTCTGCAGATGGGTTTGATAGCATCATACTCACTCTGGGCTGCCTCTCGGACTTTTGGCGTTTTTCTTCTCTCCAGGATCATAGGTGGAATAAGCAAAGGGAATGTCAGCCTCTCCACAGCTATAATTGCTGACTTGCACTCTCCAAAAGCACGGAGCAAAGGCATGGTGAGTTACATTGTGGGGCACACATTTAGTTTTAATAAGCAACTTTTAATTGATTTTAGATGCTCAGTATGTCTTCCTCAGGTGTGTATTCACTGATCAAGTGAAAACATGACTTTACATTCCACCTTGCTTCTGGCAAGGTGCCAGATCATATTCCTGGGAGCTCTTGGACTTTTGCCAAAGACCTTCACCTGCTAGTGAAAAACAGATGCTCTAGAGATGGAAAACTATCTTGTTTCAGTGTTAGAACTGTTACTCCTGCTGGTAACTTTCATTATAATAGTTTAACAATCAAAACGTCTTATGGCCCAATTTTGGCAGCTGGAAGCCAGTTACAGGGCAACCCCTTTTCCTCACCTTCCCAAGCTGTGGAAGCGCAGCAGCACAGCACAGTGTGCTCCTGACTTCCTTTCACACTGCACTGGCTTCAGCATCTGAGCTCAGTGGGTACAGGATGTGACATTTGGCTGACTGAGATGTATGAGCAGCTCCCCTATCCACTTCCAGAAGGCAGTGGCCCAGATGGAAACACCCTGCAGGCTGAACTTGGCCTGTGAATTTCTAGTTATATTTTTTATCCTATAAAAACCTTAGAGGCCCAGACTTCTCTTAACAGATTGTTATAAGCCACTACAGAGGACTCTGCTTCATGGGAGGGAAAGGCTTTAGATTTCACAGTGATAGCTAATGAATCTTCCAAGCAAATTATTATAATCATGGTGAGCCAAAATGCATTTTTGTTTGTGGAGAGAGGTAGCATTACAGACAGCACTAGTAAATAAAATGGGTCAGGGCCTATTTTTAGGGCCTTGAGAGTAAGTCACTTAGTGCAGCATGGCTCACATCCACATGGCTTGTATTCTTTTCTATTCCAAAGCAAAGTAGGCATGTTCATTCTGCTTTCTGGGAGGCTAACAGCATCTGACTGAAGCTATTCCCAACCACTGATGGGCCACTGCCTGTTCCTGCCACTTCCCTGACTGGACAGAAAACAAGATTGGATATTTGGAAACAGCAGGCTTTTCACACTTCATGCTCTTTGCTGTTCACTCCCTGCATCCTCAGGGTACTTGGGTTCTGGTTAATCCAAATAGTTTCAGAACCTGAAAAAACTGCTGACTAAAATTCTCTGTCTTTGTTCACTTTCCCTGCAGGCCATGATTGGTGTTGCTTTCTCCCTGGGCTTCACCCTGGGCCCCATGATGGGTGCTTACCTCGCCATGCAGACAGAGAAAGGAGAAGTCTTCTACCTTCGTTCAGCATTGTCAGCACTTGTGTTTTCTGTGGCTGATTTAATTTTCATCTTCCTCCTTCTTCCAGAGACGCTTCCCAAGGAAAAACGGGTAAATGGACGATCAGTCTCAATATCTGTTTTTGCTGTAAAAATAGGATTTGACAGTTGTTGAAATACTGGAAACAGCAAAGAACAGGCTTAGCCAGTGTCTCAGAAATTTAGCTCATTCCTGGGATTAGGATTATCATTATGTCTGGTATCAAAGCAGTTGTATGATCATAGAATCATAGAATATTTTAGGTTGGAAGGGATCTTAAAGATCCCTATTTCAAACCCCCCTGCCCCAGGCAGGGACACCTTCCACTAGACCAGGTTGATCCAAACCTCATCCAACTTGACCTTGAACACTTCCAGGGATGGTCTCATCTCCTAGTCCAGTGTAATATAAGATCTTTATAGTTAACATGATTGCTTCATTGCTGGTTTTGGTGTGTAAGGTTTAAATTTCTCAAAACTTAATGTGAACATGGGAGCAAGACTGTGAAATTTAAACTATGACCACAAGGATTCCTTGGGGAAGAATTTCAGCAAATCATGAAAGTAAATGCATCGGAGACTGAATTTTCTTTCGTTTAGCCAGTGTATGTTAGAAGTTTTCTTACTTATTATCTTGTATTTGCTTGAATATTTTGAACACTAAAATAGCAAATTACTTTTTTCTGAGCTGTTCTGTCTTCTACAGATAAGAAATATCTACATGTGCTAAAATTCAGTGATTGATTGGATTTGTGGGGCCAAACGTTTATTAACATTAGAATTTGATACTGTGTGATTGGACATTGTCCAAGGTATGTCTGATTAAAAGTCTCTTAGAACAGTCTCCTTTGTAGAGGGAGAGAGTGGAATTCAGCCCCGGGTATCTGCACTTAATTTGAGGCTTTCACTGGATTGGGTCTTTGCTGTGATCCCTGGTTTCTAGGCAGCTCTCAGTTTTTGGAGCATGCTTGGTTTCTGGATGGCCAAACCCATTTGACATGGAGAATTGTTCAGGAAACTTTTATCTGCAATGATCCTACCAGGGCAAAACCTTCCCTGAGTGTTTCCCAGCAGGATGTGTCCTATGTGAAATCTGTTGCTTACACTATGTTCCCAACCACTACAGCTATGTTATTTTCTTTTAACAACTCTTTCATGTGTCATCTGTTCCTCTTTCCTATTTGGCTCTTTCTAAACCTTCCAGATAAAATCCTGTTCTTAGTTAGAGCTGTACACTCTGGGGAGGTGGCAACATGGTGATGTAGGGAAGTGCTGCAGAGAAAATCTGTATTCTAGAAACAATTCCTCCCTTGCTGTAGAGTGATTAAATGGCTTCAGTGCCTTTTAGGATCACGTGATGACTGAACAGATCCCTCCCCCTTTTATTATCCTCTTGAAAGTTCTGATCAGCTGGTATGTATTAGCCAGAATTTTGGTCAGGAGAGGAGCTCTGTGTCACTGCTTTTGGGGCTCTGCCCCTGTGCAGCAGTCGGTGCTGCAATGAAGTGCTGCTCCAGGGCCAGGTCCCAGTCACACAAAGCACACAGAGTGAGTGTTTGGCTGCTCAGGAGAGGGTGATTTGGGGCTTCTTGTGATTGGTGTCAGTGCTGGTGTGCTGTCAGCTTCCATCTGGGCATGTGATCCACGTGTTCCAGCATATTTGTAATTTCAGTTATTAGGCTGCTCTGCTCTCTTCTTTGGTAATTCCTCCCACTTTCTGAGTGGGAGTGAACAGTTTTCTTGGACTGTGGATGACAAAGGAAAGGCAGGTATGTTGGCTGCCTTTCTGGAACTTGGCTGGGCTGAGTTGGAGCAGGTGCTCCCGCAAGTATAGAAGTGGAATATGTTGGAAGGACAAAGCTGTAAAAAGAGGGGAAATCATCATGATAAATGGCAGGAGGATGTGCCAGTGGAATCAGACATCTGTTTCCTTGAAGTTTGCTGTGTTCTCATTATACCCTTGTTTCTCTATCAGTCTACTTTTCACAGGAGAGTGTTTCATATTGATTCATATCAGAATTAACTTGTAGGAAGGGAAAATGGAGGAGGACAGGAAACAAACATGTACTTTCATGCAAAGAGAACAGCACTTTTACTCTCTTCCTTTCTCTTTTTGTCAACTGTTCCACGAGTTGATCAGGTGAAGAGAGTCAGACACTGGCCTTATGGTAGCCAAAACAGCTCCTGCTGTGACCTGACTAGGAGAAGGGAAAAGTAGGAAGGTCTCGTGTGGAATCTGTCCCCTTTAAGCTTTTAAGCTTTTGAGTTAGTTTTTAGCTAAGCTAGCCTTGAGCAAGACTGCCTAGTTGGAGGGAGAGTCTTACAACTCTTTTTTTCTGGACTGTGTGTAGGGCTGAGCAGTATCAGTAGCAGACTTGTGGAAAGACAAAGCTGTGCTCTGTGCATACTAAACACGTCTGGTTTGGAAGGTAAGGCTGCAGCTTGGCAGGCCCAGGCTGCATTCCTGATGTGGACTGACTCTGCCTTCCAGACCTGTTACTGAGTCTCTCTGCATTAAAGGAAAACAGAATGAGCAAAGACACTCTGAAAAATGTGTGCCATTCAAGGTAACTTTTGTGGTGATTATGAAGTAAAATTGAGGAATTATGAGATAATAAATCATAAGCATAGAAATGAAATACAAGTTAGATGTTGCAGAGTTTGAACCTGTGAAGAAACTAAACTTCATGCAGTTGTTGACATTGACTGAAATTGGCAGTGTATACTTTTTGGGAGAAGGTGAAACTCTTTAGCCAGTTTTAGAACAATGTTTTCATTCTGGATCAGTAGATGAAATTATTTCTAGACCACTGTTTCTATGGCAAAGATAGGAGAAAGTGAAAAAAATGTATGTGTGCACATACAAACATACCTACATAAAAAAATCTAATAGGTATATATATATTTCATAAAACACTTTAGATTTTAAACATGTGCAATTACAACGTATTGTAATTAGACCAAACTAAAATCAGCCTTGTGTAAAGCTGCTTGGCATTCTGACATGGATAGTAATTCAAAACAGGTACAAGCTACAGGGTATTTTTATTACTGGCAAAGATGCTTTCAGGGAGTTGCTTGTGCCCAGAGTCTCCATGCTGTAGAGCAAACCCCATCCTACCAACACATGCAGGAACTGGGGATTGCCACAGGCCAGCTTCAGGAAATCCTCTTAGACTTCTCAAGAGGGTGAGCAAACTTCTTGGGCGTGTCTGTTTACTGTCTGCAATAAATGCAGTGGGAGGGAGAATAAATATCCCAGTGTGTTCTGTGTGAATCAGCAGCTTCATGGCTTCAGACCAGCCCAGTCTATTGAACTGGTTGCTGTTGTGAGACTAATGGGCTCCAGACTTTGCTGTCGGGTACTCAGAAGCTCTGGCTATGAAAACAAGGCAGGGGTCACATTAATACCATATTGGAGGTTGATTTGTTTACAGCTTCATTAAATCCAGCCTGTAATGAGTCCCCAGGTCATGCACTGAGATTAAATTCCACTGTAATCTCTGCCCTCAAAGGCACAATAGCTCCCTCCCTCCCTATCTGGGAAGAGAAGAAAGCTCATCAAATAAAGACTGTGCACTGCTTTGAAATATTTACATGTGATTATTCAGGATTCTGGAGTGTCTTATCTCTACCTGTGACTGTTGTGTAAAGTGACAAGCTAAATTCTACTCTAAAAAAATTGTTTCCCTAATAATATAGGGAATTTGGTTTCTAATCATTTAGACATTATTTCTTTTAGTGTTTTCATTAATTTTTTGTATTTTAGAATTAAAAAGAAACCAAATAAAAGTGTAAATTATCTATAGATGGAAGAATAAGTGCCTGTGGGTAAGGAGCAGGGAGAGTACCACTAGGTGATAATTAGATTGAGATGTACACAAATGCACAAGGCTCAGAAGTGTTACAAAATAAATCTTCCTCTTTAAAAAGCCACCCATTGTGGCTGGGCAGAATCTCCTTGGAAATTTCTCTAAAATATCTCCAAAGAATCTCTGTAGAAATTATATTTTCCTTCTCTTCCCCAGGAGGTGTCACTGGCTGGCTAAAATAGTGACCACTGGCCAAAAGAGGCCAGTGTTTGATGTGCTGCACATAGTGGTCTCAGATTTGTAGCACAAGAGCAAATCTTGAGCTTCCTGTGAACTTGCAGGCAGATGTGCCATTATTTTCCCAGTAAATGTTCTTTGGACATGAGTGATGTTGCAAAAGGTAAACCAAATAAAGCCACCTTCAAGGCTGTGGAGAACGAGCCACTTCTGCTTTGTAAGAACCCAAAGAAGAATTTTTGTCTTCAGTGAAAGCTGCTATCAGTGCTCCACCTTTCAGTTACATTTGCTGGTGCCAGTTCTGGGTTCAGAAAGTCTGGGTTGTTATTGGGGCCCACTCAAATCCCAATGCCAGGTGCCTTGTTTCATCTCAGATGATTTGTGTAGGTCTAGAGGCACATTTGGTGGTTACTGTCAGTTCCTAGCAGTGATTATTACATTAGGCTTTTAAATAAACCTCTTTCTGTCTTTGATCAGGTCCCTTCTGTGACATCTGGATTTCAGGCAGCAGTTGATTTGCTCAGTCCTTTGGCTTTATTTCAGTTCTCAGCAGTCACCCGAGGAAAGGAATCCCCTTCAGAGCAGAGTAAGTGTCAGATGGCTCTTTACAGTCATATTCTGTGTCTTTTTATGTGTGGCATTGGTCTCTAAGTGAAAACTGTACTCAAACCATTCCAGAAGCAGGACTCTGTTTATTTATTTAAAACCCACCTTAATAACTTATGAACAGGCAATCAGAAGTTCCACTGGGCCTTGGTCCTTTTATTCCCAAAAGGTTTTAAAGACGAGTGTTTTGAAGATTTCTGACTTGTACTTGTGTTTTCCTCACACTGGCTGCAGTATGTGAAGTGATTTAAAGATAGATCAAGGCATGAGCAAGAGAGATGTGAGTTTGCTTATTCAAGCTGCAAACCAGGAACTTCGGACTAGAATTTTATTTCTCAATACATGACAAACATTTCCCTGTATAGTTGATAAATGATGCTCTTTTGTTGTGGTTTTATTGTCAAGCTTTGCTTGGAAAACACCACCATGTTTCTCTCCCCACCTCCCACCCCCTTGGTGTTTGTTTGGGTTTTTTGCCTTTTCAGATGTTCAGAATCTCAAAATTTTGGGCCTGGCCTACTTCCTGTACCTTTTCCTGTTTTCTGGCTTGGAGTACACACTGAGTTTTCTCACTCACCAGAGATTCCACTTCAGCAGGTATTGCAATAAATGTTGTATATTTGGACTAAGATATTTTCCAAAATCTTGATTTAAGGTCTCTTCATGTGTTTTCAAAAGAGGCTTTATTAAATTAGTAAAACCACTCAGTAAAGCCACCCCTGCATTTGGTGGTATTTGGGCTTTGTGAGAAGAATTTATGAAATACAGGCACAATGTTTATCATGAAAGGAAGTACTCGATCAATAACTTCTAAAAAGTAGGGAATATAAATACCCAAGATTAAATTAAAGCTTCTGGAATAGGTATGGCTCTACTAGTTGTGTTGATTATAGTAAAGCTGCTTCTTGCTCAGAAGAGTTTTTGGGTATCAGGACAAATCCTGAAGCTCAAAGAGGCGAAGGATGGGGGAATATCTGTGTGATGATATTTGCTCAGCAGCAAATATTGCATGGCATATTGTGTGCAGTCATGTCACAGAGCCTGATTTCCTGTAGTCAACCACCAGAGAAGAAAGAGAACAGAATCCACCAACAGCTCAGCTTGAAATACTTTTTCTGCCAGCTCATAGGAAGAATTCCAGCCAGGAATGTGAACGTGCAACTTGATTCCTGTGCGTGTCCTTCCTTTTGAGTAATTCTCAGGGGGATGTCTCATCTTTCCCTGTCTGTCTTTCATTACAGTTCGTGGTTTAACTAATCCTGTGTGTCAAGGAGAGGTTTTATAGTGCACTGAGCTTGGTTGTGTCCTGTGCATTCAGGGCAGCCCTCAGTGAGCTGCAGAGCTGTGTGCCAGCAGTGCAGTTTCTGAGGCAGCTTGTTGTGGAGGTGAGGCCCTTAAGTTGAGAATATTCACATCATTCAGTCAATAAGAGAGGGGAAAGGAAAACTGAAGGGTGGAGGGAGTGATGTCTCAGATTCTCAGTGTGACACCAGATCACCACCACTCTGTGCCTTGCTGACCTCCATCAAACCCTCCATGAGTCGCACCTTGGAAACCAACATGTCCTATGCATGTGGCACAGATGTTCAGAGCACAGGGTCATTTATGTGTTGGGTCTTTGTGGGCCACCCCAGAAAGCCTGACCTACCCCACAGCACTCCAGAGGTGGCTGCAGCACTTGCCAGCATTGTCCCATCCATACAAGACCTCGGAGTTTTCCCTTGATGCTCTCTGCTTGCCAAGGCAGCTGCTGTTGGTGTTGTGAGAGCTCTGCAGGGCTGTGTGAGCCCCAAAGGCTTTTTGTCTCCCTTGCTCAGGGGAGGGTCGGTGAATCCCAGGGTGGAATGCTCCATGTGTGACTCCCTAATCTGTGTTTTTGCCTCCCTTCCAGCATGCAGCAGGGCAAGATGTTTTTCTTTATTGGAATAACAATGGCTGTGATCCAGGGAGGCTACGCTCGCCGAATCAAGCCAGGAAATGAAATCAGAGCTGTAAAAAGGGTAAAAAAAAATCAGTATTTCTTCTTCTTTTCCCCGCACAAATCTGATATGTTAATTTTCAGTCTGAACTGCAGTGGAGAGTAGTTGGAGGTTATAACTGTATTTGTCCAATCAAAAGAAATTTCTGTCTCATCTGTTCAGCTAAATGGCTTCTCAAAACTGGCTGTTGGGCACTCTCTAACTAAACTTTGGAACTCTTAGAGCTCTTTTTTATGATATGAGCAACTATTGAAACTTTGTGTTCTTCATATTTAATTGCAGTAAGGAATGAGAACAGATTGTCCATCTATGCAAGTTAAGTAAAATATTGTGAAGAGTATGCTTTGTTTTAGTGATTTCTCTTGCAGTGCAGAAACTACTAAAGCTACCTCAGGGCTGATCTCTGACTTTCTTTCTGGGAAATTATTTTCAATCTGGCTATCTTTGTACTTGACAGGCTTTCCCTAGAGTATATTTCACTGCTGGGCAGGGAGAAATAGATTCTTTTTCCAGTCTTTGGTTTGTGATCATCAGTATTACACGTAACAAAAGCATGTTTCAATGTTCAGAGTGAGGTTTCACTGACAGAAGTGCACATTCCTTTGTTTTGCTTGGCTCTTTCCTCACAGAGGTACTGCAGCTGCTGTGCTGGGATGACAGGAACAGTTCCCTGCCGTTCATACAGCTGTGGGGACAGTAGATGTGTTGTGTCCTTTACATTTGTGTGTGAAACTAAACACAGCACTACTTTGGCTCCTTGGCAATAGGTTTGCTTTGAATGTTAGAGCCTTGATTAATGTATTTTACATTACTTTAGGCCAGTGTGATTTCAGTGGTGGCAGGGTAGATTTCCAAACCATTGCATTCCAGTGAATTGACTCAGCTTCTCTTTAAGTGATTTCTGCTGGTGAAACAATCTCCACCCTGATCCCTGGCAGGCTTCTGGTGTCACGTTTCCCTGTGGATGAACATCAGCTGTGCTGCTTCATCCTCCACATCAGCTTCCCCCGTGTGCTCTGTCAGCCTGCTGTGTTTGCTGGCACTGCACTGCCCTTTGCACCTCTCATTTTTATACTCCTTCCCCAGCCCTGCACTGGGACATGCAGTTGCCTCAAACACTCATTTGCGGGGCTGATGGCTTCTCATGAGCACCACTCGTGGTGTCCACTCTGCAGAGACCCCCAGCCCTGGGGCACTCTTCTGCACGGATGCTCGTGGGTTTTGTGGGAGTTCTCCCTTTTGCTGAAGTTATTCTGGCAGTTTGTGAATTTGCACCATATGGCAAACATGGCCTCTCTTAGCACAGTGGTTACAGTAGCTCATTTATTACTCAGTCTTCAAAATGAGGCACTCAGTGGTAGTGAATACTCTCCTTTATCACACACGAAGCAGATCTGATCTGTCTTTTCTGCAGGAGCTCTGTAGGCGAGGGGAATCACAGGAGAATGGAAGTCCAGCTCTTAGAGGAGATGAAGAGGGCTTTTTTGGGGGGGGTTTGAATTTTAGATGCACCCTCTCCCCCCTTTTTTCCTCTTGGTTACAGAAATCTGAAAGCTAAAATCAGCCAATAACGCTGAGAAAAAGCAGAGGAGTCCTGCTGCACACCATCTTTTTCCTCTCTTGTGCCAGCTGAGGAGATGAAGAGTTAAAGCCAGATTTCTGTCCAGATCAATACAGAAGAAGAGATAAAATCCCCCCAAAACGACAGATGTGTAGAGAAGTTGTATGTGGTGTGCAATCATGTGGCAGTGAGAGGGAACAAAAAAGTTCATTGTGCTGGTGTGTGGGGCCATCCAGGTGACTTTGAAATGTCTACTTGGGAAGAAAGGGTTTTCTGCTTATAACTTGTGTGCTGTCCCATCCCCGGAAGGGAGCTGGCAGGACACCTAGAGTTAGGCTTTAACAAGCAGGGCTCAGATGTAACCGTGTGACTCATTCCTTTTGCAGGCTATTATGTTGCTGATTCCAGCGTTCTTGTTAATTGGATGGGCTGCAAATGTGACCATGCTGAGTGCTGGACTGTTGCTGTACTCCTTCGGTGAGCTGTTCAAAAGGCACTGCAAGCTAAGCACAAATGATTTTTCTTCATGTATTTATTCATACTGTTAAAAAAGATGCACTTCTAATTTCACACTACAAGTAACAAAGTTGACATTTGGGTTTATGAAATATGAACAAAACAGTGTCTGGGTTTTTCTTCTGGTGCTGTTTGCATCACAGGAAGTTGTCCCGGTGGTATTGGGAAGCATCCCCAGTGCTCCTGTTGTCCTGTCTTACTGTGGAGCTCTTGAGGGTTGTTTTTTTTTTTTAACCCCCTCTTAGCAGACCTAGAAGAAGTATTCACTAAATAGCTCAGCTCAGAAAAAAAAGGGAGACGTGGAATCTGTGTACCTGAGTGGTGTTGCATTATTTCTTAGGCTGGAGACCTGCACACCGAGGGTGTTCAGACTGAGTGAGAATGAAGGTCAGATGTTTACAGTGTTTGCATAAATTCTGTTCTGCCAGCGTAAGCTGTTGTTCAGGGAAACCGTCATGAATGAAGTTGGATCCATCTATTGGATGTCTAAAGAGAGATTTCAGATATTACCAATGCTGCTAACTATTGTTAATTAGCTCCATATATGACTTATTACAAAAGTAGACTTCTCTTTTGCATGGTACAGCTTGATTTAGGAGTAAATTGTAAACCACAAAATGCACCTATTGAGCCTATTATTTGTCTGGGGCCGGCTGTGTTTGACAGGTGAGGAGTGAGAGGGGGTGTTCATTATATTTAACCATATTTGAGTCTTCCCTGACCCCTTCCTGTGCAGACGACTCCATCTCTTCCCAGTTAAGCCAGCTAGAAATTCCCCTGGGGGGGCTCTCTTCCCTTCTCTTCCTCCTGCTGCCCAGCAGCTGGGGCACCTGCACTTAAAGCAACCTAGATCATTCCTGCTCTCCCACTGTCCTTCCCTTCCCTTCCCTTCCCTTCCCTTCCCTTCCCTTCCCTTCCCTTCCCTTCCCTTCCCTTCCCTTCCCTTCCCTTCCCTTCCCTTCCCTTCCCTTCCCTTCCCTTCCCTTCCCATGTGTGAGGCACTTCTTTCTTGGCAGAAAAGGCCCCTATTTCAGTTAGAGGGTAGTGATTGCTGAACAACTCTTGGCTTTTGTGTCCAAAAAATTTTGTAACCTTTTCTTCTTGGATGTGACTGTCTTCTTTCCCAGGAGAGCCTGTAGCTGCCTCTCCTCCCTGAGTGCAGTGCACTGCTTGCACAGGGACAGTGTCACTGGGTACAGCCACCTCATTGTCTGTTTGGAACACGAGTTTCCCTGCTCCACCTGATAAGAGCACAATGATTTGGAAAGCTGCCAGCTGGCTGATCTGCCCTGTCCATCCCTGTCCCCTGGGCTCACTGAATGAGGGATGCTAATGTGAAACATCTGCTGGGAGCACTCACAGCTCTGGGCTCTTCCTGCAGGTTGGCTTGGAGGGGGTGTTCCCATCACTGAACGGGATTAAACCTGATGACTCAGTGGTGGTGTCGTGCCCAGAGCTCAGCAGATTTCTCTGCAACAGGAACGAGTTTGGGCCACATGTTTGTCACTGTTGTTCTTGTCTGTTCTGAGCTCTGCTGTTCACTGACTGTCTCTTGTGTGGATTTTTCCAGCTGCAGCCATTGTGATCCCGTGTTTGTCAGCAGTGGTGTCAGGCTATGGTGAGTGTCCCTCCTGGCTGCCCTTGGCCACACCACTGACCTTTATATTGACTTGGCTCAAATTATACAGAACTGACCTTGAGTTGAGTGAAGCATCAACAGGAACAGCTGTGGATCCATCTCAGGCCCTTCTGCAGGGGGGCACAGGGAACCACCCCATGGCTCATACCTGTCTCACAACTGATAATTTCAGCACTAACAGCAATGATCTGCTCAGTGCCCATCAGTATCACACTTGAATTTTGTGCTGTGTAACACAGTCCAGTGTGATGGGGAAACCTCATTCATTGGTGATGAAGAAGATGAGAAGTGGACAAAGGCCACAAACAGCACTGAGGAGGGAACAGTCTGGGCCATCCCTGCCAGCAGTGAAATAATTTCTTGCTGATTCCTTAGAAAAGACCTTCTGAGGAACCTTCTGAAACCTTCTGGCACTGGTTGCTATGTAACCTTGTAAAGCAGATGTAGCTGTGGTGCCACAGCTTTGAGGCACCTGGGTGCCAGGACTGCAGTGCTTGCTGAGGTGGAAAAGCAAGGTTTTGCTCATTATTGTCATTTTTATTTTTCTCTTATTGGATTTATCCACAGTTCTGTGTTTATTTTACACCTGGGCCTTCTCAGAACATCTGTGAAGCTTTTGTTTTGGATAGCTCGGGCTTTTTGGGAGGTGCGGAATGTGCACTACAAACTGTCCCAGTCAAACCCTCGTGCCAGGCCCCGGTGTTTATGCAGTGAAGCACTTGTGAGGGCCTTGGTGGAGGGCAAGCACAGAGTGGGGACTGGGTGAGAAAATGGGAGGGGAAGATGCAAGTGGGAAATACCCCCAAAGAACAAGGCTCCAGAGCTACAGCCGTGCCCAAACCCCAAACAGTGTCATGCTCTGCTTCACAGGCACTGCTGCCCAGAAGGGACGAGTCATGGGCATCCTGAGGAGCCTGGGCGCCCTGGCCAGAGCCCTGGGACCCATCCTGGCAGCTGCAGGTGAGTGTGGCCTCGTGTTCCTTCCTCTCTTTGGCACCAGACAGTGCAGGTGGGGCAGAAGGGACACAGGTACCCCCTGCATGGGGTCAGAGCCCCTGAGCATTTTAGGGTAAAGGGGAAGCAGCCTCAGAGCTTGAGCTTGGGCTGATGTTTACACCAAGCAAGCCAGAACCTGTTTCCTGAGTGCAGCCATGTGCCAAGCTCCTGGCACCCTCTGGCTCAACCAAGGGGTCAGTAGTTCTGCTCAGCTGTGCAGGCACTGTGTGAGCACATCACACATCTGCAAGGACAAGCACAGTCACAAGATGAATCCTCTTTCTTTTGCAGTTTACTGGCTGGCTGGGGCAGAGATTTGCTTCACTATCTGTGGAGCTTTTTTCCTTGTCCCGTTGGCTCTACTCAGGTCTATAAAACAGCAGACAAAGGAGGAGTAGGCAGGAGCCACAAAACCATCACCAGCTTCCAAGGACCTCTGCAAGACCTGACTCTGCTGAGCAAAAAGGAAAAGGAAGATTTTGATCTTCTGGAAGGAGATACACGATGACCATTTGCAGCAACACACAGCAGTTATGTTTAAGGTGGCCTCCCAGCCAACTGGGTTAGCTTTGCAGAAAAACACCAAACAAATGAAAACCGACACACATACACCCCCCAAAGAGTTGAGTAAGGCATTAAGAGCAGCTGAGAAGTAGAGACAGCACGACAGCAGCAGGCCTGGAGCCCTCCCCTCTCACCAGGTGCTGTTGCACACAGGGCTCTGCAGGGGCTGGGCTGGCACACAACAAACTCTCAGGACTATGGTGATGGGGTTTTTGTACAAGTGGTACGAAAGCTCTGCAAATGCTGCATCTACACCTGCAAACGTGATGGTCAAACAAAGCAGACAAAACAAAGCTGCCTGGTACCCCACTGGTACTTTGGCACAGGTGGACTGTTTTTAATATACAATTAAATTTGGAGAGATGTTTTATATTTCTAATACTGTGTGATGTTTTTGATGACCAAGCCACCCTGTTCTTTTTGCATTACAATAAATGGCTACATTGAACAGTCCTGTGGTCTGTTCATTACAGTTGTTACATCCCTGTCTAGCTGAGGCAAAAAGGGGCCAGAATTTTACCCAAGGTGCCACAGGCCTCCTTGAGGGATTCAGCCATGGATGACAGCACCATGCTGACCCCAGCTAACGGGTGGGGGAAGGAACCTCCACCAGGCTCTGCCCACTGCTGAGCTGGGAATCTCTGGCAAGGGAGCCCTGCAGTAGCCAATTTTGAGTATTTTCTGAGAAGGAAAGCCATCATTAATCAATACATTAATCATTAAAAGAAAACTAAGCAAATGAGGCTACAGAATAAAAGTGTACAAGTTTTGAAAGCAGAGCATGATTTTTTTTTCAAGAGTTTTATTTATGAGTAGAACTTAATGATACAAGAAAGAAAGAAAAATACAGGACTTTAGTCTGCCCCAAAGTGTGTAACCATACCATACATGACTACATTTCATATTGTAATACAAAGAACTAAAAGAACAAACTACAAAATTTGAAATTAAGAGTCATTGCATATGTGGTCAAGATAAATGGAGAGACTTCAGTAAAGAACTGAAACATACAGCAATTAGTCATTTAGTTACGACCCTGCAATAAAACACAACTTAGCAAAATAAGTGTTGTTTGCTTCCTAGTGTACAAGGACATACAATGTTAGAGCAGAAGCTGAAAGCCATTGGTGCCATGCAGTCCTGCCTGAGCGCTGCTGTCCGGGGGCTCCAGCCCAGTGCCCACCTGCTCTGTCCCACACCGGCCCTGTCACCTTTCCCGCGGTCCCAGTGGCCACCTCGAAACCTCTGTTCTCACTTGAACACTGACAGCTCAATTCCACTTCCAGTTGTTCCCCTTTGCTGCCCAAAACCAGCCCGAGGCATCGGCACCTCCCAGCCTGACACAGGCCTTGCTCTGCCCACCCAGAGCTGCCTCCAGCTGCTCCACCCACCCGGCCCTCCGTGCTTTCTGCTGCATGAATGTAAGGCATTAGTTCTCTGCTATTTTACCAATTGCAACATTTAATATTGTCCTAAAAGGTTACATCCATGATCTGTTGTGTTACAGACACTTACTGTGAGTCAGTGTGTTGCCCTTACCCCCACGGGGTGTTAGACCTGAAATGCAAATTCTAGAAACCAGAACTGGTCACTGCCCTGCCGGCCCTGGGCCGGGGAAGGGCACCCGCTTTCCGGAGAATTCCGCAAGCTTGACCTACCTGATCTTACACTACTTTTATAATTAGTGATAGACAGAAGCATGGCAAGAACTGGGAAATAGTGAACTCAGTGGTGAGAGTGATTTGCCATGCTGCACATTAAACAAACATTTATAGCAAACAGTGAAAGTACACCTTTAAGGTTACACAGGATTTCTGTACTTGACCGCTGGCAACAACAACAAAAAGATTTAAAGAAATGCCAGCTTTTGTAAGTGAAAATATAATTACTATAAAACAAGGTGAAATACTCAGTGTAATGCATTTACATTTTTATCAGTGGGAAGGAACACAAAAGGCTGTACATGGGGTTCATGCACAGCAAGGTTGCATGTACAACAAAGGGATTTTTAAGAGAATGAAAAAAAGTGTGCTAAGGCCCAATATACACCTGCCCATGCTCCACACCACCAGCTGAAAAACTTCTGAAATACTTCTACTTCAGTTACTTTTTAACCTTTTCTAACAGCCAAATCACCACATGACTCAGCGAGGCAAGAGCAAAGACAGATTTTGCTTAAATTGTGATTCACTAGGAAGAAAAAAAAACAGGCCAAGACTGGGCTCTTTGAACACACAACATGAGCGGAACACAGCACGGACATTTCAGTCCTAGACATCAAAGACTGATTTCACCAGCTAGTTATAAAATAAAACAAAGTGAAAAACACCTTCATTTTGTAACAACAGTGAGAAGGGAGAGAGAGAGGAAGCAATGGAGAGCCTCAAAGCTTGGCCAAACCACAACCTATACTCAAAAGCTTGCAGAAGGTTACATGTCAGTTCAGGAATTCACCCCCCTTGAGAACACCACTGCAAAAGCATCCTCTCTAAAATTTAAAATTTAAGAAATTTACTTGTGACTTGGAACAGAATATTGGAAAGAATACTTCTTGTGGTAAGCAATGGGTGTTTTATTTTTAATTGTGAATTTTTTATATTCTTTTGCAAAGCAGTGCAGGCTTTAAATTAAAAATAGTGAATCAATGCCTTCCACATGGAAGTCATTTACATTTGATTACTAACGAGGGATCAGATCTGTGGCAGCTGCTGAACACACAGGATTAGCACCTTTTTGGACATGAGTTTCTGGTTATAACCCTAAACAATCAAGCCATAACTTGAGGGGCTGGTTGGATTAATTGTGGCATTCATTTACATAGTAAGACAAAACACTCAGTACGATCCGGTACATTCTAGTGGTTAATGGATTTTAAAATATGACAGTGTTTCTGCAGTGGGTTGGCCTTTAGGAGTCACTCTTCTTTTTGCTCTTCTTCAGGAAGGAAGGAGTGCGAAACTTCTTTTTCTTTTTTGATGGGGACTTCCCTGGAGATTCATCACTACCTGCATCAGCTGCTGTCCCCTCCTCAGCTGTTGGTGTTGCTGGCTCTTCAGTGGGTTGGGACTGGGGTTCCTTATTTTCCACTGCAGGTGGTTCCGTTTGGCTTTTGGGCACATCGTGATCACATCTCCCTTCCTCCTTTCCTAAGGGAGGGAAGCCGAGTGCTTCCGAAGGCTCATCGGGGGTGAGATCTGGGAGGGTTTGCTTGAAGGTTGCAGCATCACTGTCATCTCTGTAGGTCTGGTCCTGCCGTGTCTCTGGTGGACGGACAGACAGTGACAGTCAGTTTACAAAAGTGTCCCTGGAGCAGGGCAAGCGAAGCAAGTGGATGGTGAGTGCGTTCTATAAGAAACTAATATATTTACTTGGCATGGAAGCCTTTGTAATAGGGCTGTTCTCCAGCTCTGGGCACAGAAGAAATAAGATATTGCAAAGTTCTCTTTGTTTTTAAGCTTCACACAGAACAGATTAAGCTGAATTTCATCAGTAAGAAAGTAACTGTTCAGACCTCGCTCCTGTTTTACTCGTGACATTTGCAGGCAGTAAAATATTTTAGTGCAATAAAGCAGGAATTAAACCTACAGTTTTCATTGGCATTGGGTAGAGTGTTTCACAGTTCTATACCTTTATTCTTATTTCTTTTGGAGAGAGAAAACTAATTGCTGATTTGCAGAGATCCCATATATGCAAATCCATTCATTTCTAAATTGTTGGCTTGCCAATTTATAATCCCAATGAAGGGATTTTCATAATATTCTTCCATGAGATCTAACTGATGTTGCTTCAAAATATTATTTCCTATGACAAAGGCTTCACTTTTTTTTTGGCAAGATATGAGTACATATTATGGATTCCTGTAAGTAAAATCCATGTAGTTTATCAAAATGAGCTCAGCAGGTTATGCAATACAGCTTGTTTTGTTTATTGTATGTGATGTCAACAGCCAAACTCACCCTGTAAAAGGGAACATCAAGAGTCCAGTGGTAGCTGTGTGTCCAAAGGGGAACTGAACCGCTCCTCCCTCAACTGCAACACTGTCCCCACTCACCGCTGTGCCTTAGGGATGCTCTGGGTAAGGCTCCTCTTTGTGCACGGGTTCAGCAAGGAGCACTTTGTGGAGTTCCCTGCAATGCTCTCCGTGCACCGCAGCCGAGCAGTGTCCTGTTAGCTGTGCCACATCTATCCCCACTGATGTTACATAAGGAGGAATTTAGAGCAAAATCCAGGCCATGCTCATTGTGAGGCACAAATGAAAGGCAACTATTTTTTCCTCCTTTCAAGATCTTGTTTGTTTTAATTGGAAAAGACTGAAGGCTTTCACAAGAATTTACAGAAAATACTTGACACTTTCACACTTTTCCTATAAAAATGACAGTGTTCTTTTTACTTCTGCCAGATGGGATTAATAATTCTCTGATATATTTTAGAGGGCTGTGTTCTGTCAATACCTGCTAGGAAATAAACACGTTTTCCCTAGAGCACCATGAACTTCTAATAGGTTAAATAAACACCACACACTAGTATCCAGTGCAAAACACTCAGAATGCACAAGTTAGCAGTTGAAAAGTTATAATGCAGGCAGGATTTAAATCAGAGCAAAAAAGAGAAAGCAGTTATGTACAGTACAAATTGCCTCCTGAAGCTGTAGTTTAGCCTGTCTATGTATGGCAGACACAAATTCATAAGAAACACCAGTTACAATTCTTCACCATCACTACTCTGTTTTTGGATTTGACTTTTCAGGAATTAACTGAAACCATTGCTGAGCTCTTCTCCCTGGGATCCAGTAACAGAACATGTGGGAATGGCTCAAAGCTGCAGCAGAGGAGGCTCAGACTGGACTTTGGGAATCATTTCTTTACTGAGAGAGTGGTCAGACATTGGAATAGGCTTCCCACTGACTGAGAGCTGGTCAAGGCCCCAGGCTTGTCAGTGCTCAAGAGGCATTACGACAATTAACTTTAATTTTTGGTCAGCCCTGAGCTGGGTCAGGCAGTTGGACCAGATGGTCATTGTAGGTCCCTCCCAAGTAAAACATATATTCTATTCATTAGTTGGCCCAATTTTCAGAACCCTATTAGACTGTCAGATTTATTTTCTTTTTTAAAATTCAGTTTAAAAGATAGTTTTGAAGTTTTAAAAAAGGGATTAGAGATTCTCCAAATTAAAGAATAGGAAGCTACAGGCATTCAAACAGCATTTGCCAGCTGGCCTGAGTATTGAATAAATACAAATGGGTTTATAACTCATTAACCCAGGACTGCCATCCTTCCCAGTTTGTCAAGTTCCCATCATCCTTAATAAACAGATTAACGTGATGCTGGAATCAAATCTGTTTATCTAGTTTGCTAAGGGCAATATTTTACTGGAATTCAGAAGATTTGCAAATTCCACATTCAATTAAGCCAGCACACAACGTATAAATGCCCTGCTACTCTGCTGGATGGATTTCAGTAACATTTTAAAAGTTTTTTTAAAATAATCATGTTTACATCCATGCCCACCCTTTTTTTATAGAGATATATATATATACTGTGGCTTAAGAGTTTAAATCATAACATCAATACTGGTGTGTGTTTACAATTCACATTATTTATGAAAATAAAAGTTTATGGGGTTTTGGTTTGATTTTTTTTTTTCAACACAAAGATGTGGACAAACATACAAACTAGTCTATAACTGAATTAAAAAACACTTGACTGATTTCAGCTACACTTAAACAGAAACAATATGATGAACCAAAGCTGAGAAGAGGTTGTATACTAAGAGCACTGTCATTCAAAAGAACCTCCCCCAACCAAAGACATCATGGTGTGAACTTCCAGTTACTCTCTAAAATAAGCTTTGTATGTTTGTCCTGGAAAACTTCTACAACTAGAAGAGTTTGTTAAACACAATTCTCTATTTAAAAGAACTTTCAGGTTTTAGAACTTTATCAGTAACATCACAAGTGTCTACGATATAGTTTGACTTTCACCCCTATGACAAACACACTGACTTTTGGATATAACAGGACATACAAACATCCTTATTCCTTTAAAGTATAATCCAAAGGAGCCCTGCAGAGCTAGCCAAAACAGCTGTAGAAGTTGCTGCCACCAAGTACTTGCTGTTATTCCTTGTCTGGAATTTGAATTCCCTATAGTTAACACAAAACATAGGAGTAGTCCCATATCCATTTCCATGCAGAAGTCTGCTGGGTAAATTTAAAGCCACGTCAGTGGATTTTGCACTGGAATAGATTAGGAACTCTTCTGTTTTGTTACCAGGCCCAAGCTGTGTGGGCAGCAGCAAACTGTTGGGGGAGAAACTCCCAGGGCTGTTTCAGCTCTATCTGCCAGGCAACTTCAGACTATTCCTTTTTAAACTGAGGAATCAGACACACAGATATGGAAACACGGAAGGTGACTTTCACAGTCTCTCTCAAAGGGGGAGTGTGCTTTAACAGGAGATCTGCAACTGCCTGGAATTACATGGAATTGAGAACTAAAGAAATCAACATCTCAACTGAAAAAGCCTGCTTTTTTTAAAAAAAAAATCAAAACAAAAAAAAATCTTAGTAAACAAAGATGCAAGAGTGAAGCAAAGCACAAAAGCAGGTCAGAGTATGGAATGATACTTACTATGGTAACAGGTATTCTTTAGCATATCCATCTCCTGTTTGTAACGCAGCCACAAGAAGAAAAAAGCACAAGTAGAGAATCTATGCATTCATCACAGCCATTGTGTTACGTTAGAAGAATGGTAGCAACCATTCTTGTAGAAAACAGAATGAGATGAAGTAGTGAATGGCAGACTAAGACAAGTGATATATCCAATGTACAAGGTAAAGGAAACAAGACAATAATTGGATTACACCTTATCCTTTTTTTAGGGAATTATCAGCTTTAGCAGCCCTGCTCACATTTTAGCTAAAACCATGATGTAAGGTGAGCAAATAATCAAATTTAGATTCAAATTGAGTAGGAAAAATATTTTCTGAGGTGTAATCCAAGTACAATAATGTTTAAGAAATGTGCAATCAGTGAAGAAGATTTACCAAAGCATCTAGATGTGTCTGGTTCACCATCAGACACTATTTCATTTAGTAAGAGCAATTACCTTGCAGAAAATGTACAAAAGGGTAAATCGGTTGAGAAACACCAAGAGATGATAAGGCAATTCTGAAGAGATGGAAATTTGTCTTTATATTAATGCACACTTCTTTATTATTGTAAACAAAACTCCTGTTAGACTCACAGTTCAGTGGAGTGTCTCGTAGGTAGTACAACAATGAAACACAACAAGTCACTGACTGTTATTAGCTCTAGTTCATGTCCTCCCATGCGTCAGTCACTAAGGATGCAGTTACTGCCCCCCCCACGATAGCAGAACGTACCTTCCTCTATTTTAATTGGTGTGCTGGGAGGAGTGCGAGCTGAACTGGGGTCAGGGGGGCTTTTCTCTTTCTGTGGCCTGCCATCTTCTGAGGGCTCTGCAGGTGCAGTCAAAAGGGAATTAAAAAGGCAAATAAAACCTCTCAGCATGTAAGAAAACAAGTGTCCTTTTGCTCCATGCACAAAAAATAATACATTTTTTTTCTGAATCAAAATTCTCCCACGATATTAAATAATACCAAAACAAGCAAAAGAAAATTAAGTGATAGTTTGATACTAACAAAACTGTTCAAGTCACTGTTGTGCTCTGCAGCTCTTTTTGGAGGTTTTTCTTCTTTAAGAGGGCATGAATAATGAAGTCATTTATTAACTGATTTATGCTGCTGTTATAAAGAAAACTTGTGGGGAAAAACCACAAGAAAGATCTAAACAAATATGGAGGAGGGGATATGCTCCCAGGCCTACACAAGAGAACATTCTTTTGCTTGCTTTGTATTGCTGAAATTTGGAGTAAACAAAATTGCATCCCAAAAAGAAAAGAAGACTGCACAGATAATCAGAAAAACATGCAGTAATTATATGATTCCAAACAGATTTCACAGTGGTTTGAGTATCTGTTATTAGTAAGGAGGACTTGAGTATTAGCCCCCATTGCTTCCAGCTTTGAAAGCCCTAGATCCAAAGGAAAATATTAATAGAGTACACCATATATCAGGAACAACACTAAAGCATTGTTCCATCCAATTCACCTACACAATTAAAGTGAAATCAGTCCCACAGATGAGAGTCAACTGACAGAATCTCCACATGGTGTAGATAAAGAGGTTGTTCCTTGGATTATAAGCACAGCTGTACCATGTTAGTAATACCTGAGGCCTCAGCCAAAAGGTCAGGATCAGACCTTAAAGCTTTGATCACTGCAGTATGAAATTCCATATGGGAGGACTTCTGCCCATCTGGCTCTTCTCCATTTAGATGTGGGATGATTTGCTGCATGGTCTGACAAGAAACCCGTGCAGCAGCAAACTGAATGTTAGCTAAAGACTTAGACAGTGATGATATGTCACGATCCTCTAAAGTCTTCGTATCTGTTCCTTGAAAGGTGTTTGATCTGCCTTTCAAATCCAGAGATTTTTTATCTGACGTGTTTTGCTCACTGATGGTCTGATTTCTAAGCACTGCACTCTGTTCCCCAGCTGGTGTCTGTCTCAGTAACACAGTCTCTCCATATTTTGATACCTTATCTAAGAAGGATGTGGCATTGTTACTGAGAGAATAAAGGTATGCAGTTAAACAAGCATGACAGCACAGTATCCCATCCCACCCCACCTCACCCAGTACTTCATAAACCAAAAAACCGATTCCTACATTGTGATCCCAAAAGCAGCTGCAGGGAACACACACTAGAAAAGAAACTGCGCTTTGGGTTCCTGCATCACTCAAATTCAAAACCTCACAACAGATGAGCATTGTAAATATCATCCCTTAAAATTATACAAAAGTAAAGCAGGAGAACCACTTCAGATGCAGCAACAGCTTCTTTTTATAGCACAAATACGTCAGAATTCTAAGATAATTGAAAAAGTCCATTTTGATAGAAGTCCCCAAGATACCACATTTCCAAGCAACAATCAGTGTTATTCTGTATCTTCTCCATTCAACGTATTTCTCAAATCCACAAATTTCAATGACTTGAAAAACCTGCAGTGTTGCTGCTCTAAAGCACCAACATTCCCTCACCTTAGCCTAGGCTCTAGGGCAAAGCAAACAAAGCAGAACAAAACAAGTACTAAAACACCTTTTTGCCTAAGTTTCAAGCTTTCAACTTCCTACCTGCAGGAGCGACTGGCCCTACTGCCCAGTTTGTTTATAGGGACAATTTTAGAGTGAGATCTATGCATTTTAAAAAACACACTTAAAACACTTAGATCGCACATTTTAATAATATACTTTTAAATTTCTATTTCACACTGGAAAAACTGAAACATAGAAAAACTGGGTAATTTATCCATGGCCTTTGCAGGTGTAACCCACCTTCCAATTATTAAGAAACTGCTGGTACTACAGTCTATTGTAGAAAAAACACACACAGAAAAACCAACCTTCTGGTCCCTTCTGCTTTCTTTCTACTTCTTTGCGATATTCTTCCAGTTCTCGATCAGTGAGTTTATTGAAGGGATTTGGTCCTGTTGTGCTCACTATGACTTTTGGTTGATATTCTTTCTCAATTATTGCCTTTGATGCAGTCACCAGTTCTCCCTGGCAAAAGAAAATTAAGATACATCTGCAATCAAGCAGTAACTTGCAAAATCTTTCGAGGTATAGAGGCTACAAAGCAGCCAAAACCAAAACAAAAATATAACCTGGAAAATGCTACTTTTTCCTCTTTTAGATTAAAAAAAAAAATCTATTACAGATTTTTTTTTTATTTGATTCACAGGAGGTTAATATAAAGGAGAAAACAGGTCTCCACCAGGGAATATCCACCATTAAGCAGTAAATCAAACAGCAGCCGAACAGTCTAGCTGAATTACATTTGAAGTCACAAAAGTATATCAAGTTTCTTTTTCTTGCCACAAAAGAAACATGATACCAGGCCCACCTGCGTGGCAGTCTGGGCACAGAATACTTGTAAAGGGTCGAGAACTCATGGGTATTTTTGTTTGTTTTGTTTTGGCTTTTATTATTATTGTTATTATTATTTTGCTTTGGATTTTTGTTTTGCTGTGTATTTTTTTAACAACAGAAAAGCCATTTCTGGCAGCTACTACATTACCCCTAACAGATGTTATAGTAAAAAGTCATCTTGTATATGTTCTATATACACCAGATTAACAGCTTATTATAAGCAATTTTAAAGTAATTACGGTTAACTGTAATCTGGTACAAGTTAGCATATATACATCTAAAACATTTGTCATTTAAGCCAGATAAAAAGTTATACAAATAAAAATATAACGAGCAATTCTAAGTAGAGTAAGTTCCAGTGGACAAAAGCAGCTGCATCAGAGATTCTCTAATGTTAAAGATTTTAGTTTTTCTTCTCTAATCCAATAGTAAAGGGTACAGCCACTGGGTTTTTATTGTCTCAGGTATAGAAAATGCTTGCCTGGAGATAGTTGCTCTATCTCTCAAATGACTTGTCTAAGCATTTGGTTTTTTCCTTTGGATATACAGAACTCTGACACTAGTTTGTTAACGACTGATGTGTGACCTGCACCCCATGTCATGGTGACACTCAAACTGTCTCCATTATCAAAAATAGTTATTTTAACTCCATTACCCAATAGGTATGGGCTACTGATTGACCCAGGTCATGTCCATATTCAAATGTTGTCTGTACCAATATTTAGAAGAAAGCATTAGAAAGCACAGTTCAAAAATACGCAGTGCTTGAAGGAAGATAAACGTTCCATCCCATGTCCACACTTCATGGACAAGCACAGGATGGTCACTGTAAAACTGATGATGCAAGTAGACAGAATGCTGGTTTGGATGGCCAGAGCTGCTTTGGACAAGTTGTCGGCACCAAAGAGGTGTCAGACAAGACTGTCTGGATGGAAGGAGGACAAGAGCAGTTTTGAAAGCCTAATAAGAGATCTCCAGAAATCTGGTCTAGAGCAATCCAGGGAGGTAAGATGGTTGTTAGAATCTGCTGCTCTTCAGGAAGCAAACACCAGCCAGAAGTACCAGAGAACAAACAGCGTAACAGAAGATCTCCACTGCAAGACCCTGAAAGGAACTGCAGGAGAGAAACATCTCTAAAACATTACAGATCACTTCCATTTCTCCATAAAATAAGAGGAAATTTCATTTTATATGCAAAATGTCAGTAGAATATCAAAAGCTTTTTCTCAACTATATCCATGAAGCTTTGTTTTGATAGTAACAGCTTTTATCAGAGATAATGCATAAAAGGGTCAAGAACAACATCAACCTTTGTACAAATCCTAATTGTTTTGTAGAAAATTCAAAACACCCCCTAAAATGACAGGTCTCAGCTTTTAATGATGGCAAGAAACTGATGCCCATAGAAATTTTATATTTCCCTGTCTTTACCCATACTTCAAACTAAGACCATAGTTTAACTGAAACTCAGCATAAGTAGCAGGACCTTGTAAAGTACGGATCTCAGGCAGAGTTTCTAGAGTTTTCTGGGAACAAGAAAGGAACAAGATACACAGTACCTATTAGAATCCCTGGAATTTCTAGGAATTTTTGAATGTTGCAAGTTAAATCCAGAATGACTGGGTAGAATAACTTCTAATGAAACAGAATGTTACTGAATGCCTGTTGATTTAATGGTGACAAACAGCAAGACAGTGCCTGGTGCACTGGTGAGATGTGTTCTCCTGCTTAGGAGTACCTTTGTTAAATACTGGGAGTGAAAGCAGGAAATCAAGCTTATCACATTTA